CCCAGGGCTGTTAGCAATCCCAGAGGCAAATGGCGGTGCCTGTGAGAAGTCTGAGCCTGTTGAATGCAGCTAAACCCTGTTCCCAGATTTGGCTGATCCTGAGGATCACTTGGGGATCTGTGAAAGTAACAGATACTCAAGGTCTATTTACAACTTAATGACTAAGAATGCCTGATGGGGGGTGGGGGTGGGGGGTGGAGTTGTCCAGGGATCTGTATGTAGTTTCACCAGATCCCAAGGTCATTCCAGTGATTGGCTATGTTTGGGGCCCAAAAAAAAAAAAAAATAGTACTAGTCAGGCATGTAAAAAGATATCATTAACTGGGACAAAACTGAGTTTAATTTGATTATTTAGTCCTGATCAAAAAGGTTTTAATGAACTGGGGAAAGGAAAACAGGACCTCAAATTTTACTTAAGTGATTGCTGACTTATGCTCTAGAATATACCCCTAATTTCTTTCTTGAATATTTACTCAACTATGATGCCAGGTTTAATTTTTTAGGATTTATCGTCTCTGATGAACTAGAAAGCCTTTACTAATTACTATTATGAAATAGGTTTGATCTTGAGAATTAATACACTAAGCTTAGACTCTTAAACCAATCCTCAGGTCAAAACTATACATTTGCATGCCTATCTCTGTAGTCTTCTTTCTTAACTAAAGATTTTCAGAATTTATCTCCTGGTGGGTCCTATCAAAATGGTGAAAGGAGTGTCATGAGGACGTCTTGTCAAATCTACAATAGCAGAGAAAAGAATCAAAGTAGATACTAAGAATTACCTAATAGCATTAGATCAAAAGTATCTAAATGTATACTTATAATGATCAGGCGTTTTACTGAATTTTAGGGTTCTGTTACCTCAACAGACATTTATATCAATTCTTTTACTCTTTGAAAAAAAAAGTAATAGTTTCATTGGCATATAATTCATATATAATTGAATAGCTCAATCACACCATGAAGAGTACCATTCCAATTTCCTGTTTTTCCTTAAAAGAGGGAGCCAATCTGATGAGAATTTAGTAATCCTATCTCTTCTGGAGTTGTCTCAAAATCAGCAGTAAAGGGACTGCTATTCACTTTCATTTCATTACTGGTAGAAACTGTTGTAAGCCACACTGATTTTCTGAAAAATAGAAGAGCAGAAAATGCATTGAGTTATGCATATGTGGTTGTAGGACTGGGGCTAACTTGGGAGCAGATGCCTATTACCATTATTTTGAACACCATGGTCATTTTCAGTTGTAGTACAGCACAGTGTCAGTATCCTAAGGGTTAGATTTGGGGCAGATATCCTTAACACTCACACACTGCCATCCAATGTCAGGAGTATACATGGATAAATGGCCTTCACTGAAAACTCATGGTCCTATAGAACATGGTAGAACTCCCACTGTAGGTTGTGATACTGTAACTCTATAAGGGAAAGAGAAATCTCACTTTTCTCCCAAAGCAGCTGGTAGATTCACACCAGTGAACTTGCAGCTCAATAGGTAACCCAGTTTGGGCTTGCACTAAATACTTACCCCAACTTAAGAACAATCAATTCTTATATCATGCCCCTGCTCAATACTCACCTTCATGAAATAATTACTGAAGACAAGGGTGCTAGGGCAAAGTGTGGTGAAGAAAAGGAATGGTGCCCGGCTATCAATCGAAATGGTATCTGGAGCTTTAAAGGTTTGTATTCAAACAACCAGTTATCTAAGTGAGGAGTCAACTAAGTCCACACACAAGAAGCACACCAGCTTGTGTGATCCAAAGATGACAAGCACAAAACTTGAATATGGTGGGGAGAAAAGCATCAGAACAAAAATTATGAACACCCAATTTGTGGAGGGCTTTGGGGGACAGTGAAAGCCCAAAACCCGTCTGCAGGTCACACTGAGCCATTGGCAGATCCACACTAGCCACAGGCAAGAGTCTGGACCAGCCCTATGATCAGGCAGGGACCACTGATTATGCTGGATCAAACTCGACACTTGGCCAGTTGACCACCCTTATAGATGCAACTTGAATTTGTTATGAGTGCAAGTATCTCTTACTGGCTCCAGGACAGAATTTTTTTCCCCTGGCTTTTTGATTATTGTCTTTTCCTTCTTATGCATTATTAGTATTTTTGTCTCTTGTGTTTCTATCCTTACCACCTTAGCAGGATGTCGTCTTTTATTGTCTTCTGTTGGGTCTCCCAGCTGTGAAGCACAGGAGGGAGTGGATGCATAATGATGATAGCAGATACGAGAGGATGTAGGGATTACAAAATGGGGGACAGTAGATAGGGAGGGAAAGGGAATTTCAGGAGTAACTAATGAAGACAGGAGTGGGGAGGGAGCACTAGAATAGATTGTGATTGCATAAATCATCTGGAAGGCAATTTAACCATAGAGGAGGGGAATGCCCTAAGTTGAGGTGGGGGTAATTGTACAATTCTGCATGATGTGACTGCATGATTCAACTAGTGAATCATATGATATGTAAATTACTTGCCAATAAAACTGCTGGAGAAAAAAATCAACCCTCTATACCATCAGGGCAGCCTTGTAAATGGCTGTAGATGATTTGTAATGCTTTGCTAATGATTCATAAAGAAAGTAAGTGAAAATTGTAAAAAAAAATTTTTTTGATTTGGCATCTAGTAGTGATAATGGTAACAAAAGTGGTGTGTGTGTGTGTGTGTGTGTGTGTGTAAAATTCATGTTCCCAACCCTAATGCTCCACCTTTATTGGGATAGCCTTTGACTTTTCCTTAAAGGGGATAAACCATCCAGCTAAAAAGGCAAACAAAGCTTAGAGTTCTTGTGTCCATTCCAACCTGGCGTGACCCTACTGGCCAAAATAGAACTGCCTCATAGGGTTTCAAAGATGATACATGTTTGAGGAGTCCTGGTGGCATATTGATTATGCACTGGGCTACTAAGCAGAAGTTCCCAGTTCAAAACCACCAGCTGCTCCTTGGGAGAAGACTTTTTACTCCCAGAAAGAGTTGCACTCTTAGAAACACACAGGGCAGTTCCACCCTGTCCTAAAGGGTCACTACGAGTCTAAAGCAACTCAATATCACTGAGGTTTTGTTTGTAAATCTTTCCCAGAACAGACAGCCCCATCTGTCTCCTGCAGGACAGCCAGTGTGTTCCAATAGCTGAACTCTCAGTTAGCAACTGAGCACTTAACTACTGTGCCACCAGAGCTCCTTGTCCTTTTGCAGAAGCATCTTATAGATGAGGGTGGATCTAGAGCATTCACAGGAAGGCTGGTTTCTGGACTCACCTTGAGGCTAAACACTCCAGAGGAAATTTTTGACTGGCATAATGCATAGTCCTGGGGATAAAATGCATCTCTGTTTGAAAAAGGACAGCATCGCTTGAAATAACCTAGGAGAACACAAAGTTTAACTTAGAATGTCTCTTAATAAAGGAATGATACATGCACTGAAATAGGAAAACACAAGTTCAAAAGGAAGGCTACTATAGCTAAGGTACAGGCAGTATCTGGGTCAAAATGAAGAAACGAGCCAGTCAGGGTGCAGTATGGCACCAAGTAAACATACAAATTTCCTCTAGTTCTTAAATACTTCCTCCCACCCTGTTATCATGACCCCAATTCTACCTTACAAATGTAGTTAGACCAGAGCATGTACACGGGTACAGATAAGAGCTCTAGACAAAGGGAGTGTGGAACAGATAAACCCCTCAGGAACAATAATGAGAGTAGCAATACCAGGAGGGTAAGAGGAAGGTGGAAGTAGAAAGGGGGAATTGATTACAATGATTGACATATAACCCCCTCCCAGGGGACAGACAACAGAAAAGTGAGTGAAGGGAGACAGTAGTCAGTGTAAGACATGAAAAAAAAAATAATTTATAAATTATCAAGGGTTCATGAGGGAGGGAAAGTTGTGGGGGGGGGCAGAAGAAAAAAATTAGGAGCTGATACCATGGTCTCAAGTAGAAAGAAAATGTTTTGAAAAGGATGGTGGCCAGCAATTGTACAAATGTTCTTGACACAATGGATGTGTGGATTTTTATAAGAGTTGTAAGAGCCCCCAATCAGATGATTAAAAATAAATTTAAGACATCTCTTCCCATAATTGATGGTTTTTCAACACTAGAAAAATTGAATAAAGTTAAAACTGCCTGCTAAGCATTGATGAAATGTATACACACACACACACACACACACACACACACACACACACAATCCACTAAAGCTCTTCTGTTAAATGGGCTCCACTCATAACGACCCTCTGTGTTCTTTTGACTTTCCAGTGTCATTGACCTTACTCCAGTAATTCCCTAAGTTTTTCTTTTCAAGGAACTCTGGGTAGACTTTAATCACCGAGGGACTGAATACAGTAAACTAAAATGAACAGAAATCAATGCCATCGAGTCAATTCTGTCATAATGGCCCTATAAGACAGAGCAGAACTTCCCCTGTGGGTTCAAACTTGACATCTTTATGGGGAGCACACAACCTCAGCTTTCTCCCATGGAGCAACTGGTCAATTCAAACTGCTGACTTTGAGGTTAGCAACCCAGTGCTTAATCCACTATAGCACCAGCGCTTCTTACTCTAAAGATTCGAAATCCGTTCCTTCATTGTGCCTAAAATCTGTGTTCTAAGGTCCTGCTCTGATAAATGACGAACTCTGTGATTAGGTACCAATATGTGACTATAACTAGGAGCAAACTTTGTTCTTTTATTTTAAATAATATTTAAAGCACTTTGACAGAATCGTTAAAAGGTGTTTTACTGTATTTTCACAAATCACTACTACTCTCACCTTTGTCTTGATGCCACAAGCGTTAACAGGGTATACAAAATCATATGCGTATGTTTGTATCCGGGTTGCAGGACAGCCCGTTCCTAAAAATAATTCATCAGCAAGAATATACAGATGGCTGCTGCAAGCAGAGGGGTTGACGGTAACCATCAGCCAGTCCACAGAACAGCTCACTTGCACTGCAGAAAGAATCAAAGGAGAAAATGTAGCTATATTAAGCTATATTAAGTTTAAAGAACATTGTTTCTGGTCTTTCGCTAGCCAAAGTAATCACAGCTTAGAAAATAGAATACAAAGCATTTCCTATTACAATTCTTTTCCAAAATATCTACATATATATCCTCAAACAACTAACCCATTCCCATTAAACCTGTTTCAACTCATAACAACCCTATTGGACAGGATAAAACTGTCCTTATAGGGTTGCTAAGGCTTCAATCTATATAGTAGTTTTCTATCACATCATTTTCCTAGGGAGTGCCTGATGGATTTGAACCACTGGCCTTCTGATTAGCAATTAAACATGTAACCACCAGACCACCAGGACCCCTTCCAAATAATTTGTTATCTCAGAAAGGGAAAAATAAACATGCAAGGATAAAAAAAACCATAATCTTATATGCTTCCTATAAAAAAAGTCAGATTCCCAAATAAAAGGTGATATATCAAGGACCACACAAAAAGGACAGAAGTAAATTATAATTTTTTGGATGAATTAAACCAAACCTACTGCAGTTGATTCTGACTCAGTGAATCTATAGGCCAGAGTAGAACTACCTCATAGGGTTTACTAATCTTATAGAAGCAGCTGCCACTTCTTTCTCCCATGGAGTGGCTGGTGGATTCAAACCACTGCTTGATTAATAGCCAAGCACTTTAAACACTATTTCAGGCAGTGTTCTTGTGCATATGGGTCGGGGTAATATTAGGGGGCTTCCAAAGTTCATGGGGAAAGCCCATTATTTTTTCATTCCTTTTTCCACACACTTGTTGAAGCCCCCTCATCCTTTTTCCACACACTTGTTGAAGACTCCTTGAAGATAGAGAAAGAGGAAGTATGGTGCTAAAAACCCACTGCCATCAAGTCAAATCCAACTCACTGTTACCCTATATGGCAGAATAGAACTGCTCCCTAGGATTTTAGAAGCTGTAATCATTACAGAAATAGACGGCCCCATCTTCCACCTGTGGAGCAGCAGCTGTGGGTTCAACCTGCTGCCCTTGTGGTTAGCAGCCCATGTGTAACTCACTACATAGCCAGGGCTCCTTCAACTCGTGTGCTGATCTTGTAGAATCCCGTTCTAGAGCAGCTAGAACCAGAAATGACAGCCCCCATAAGAGGAAACAGCCTGAAGAAAGAAAATCCACAGTGCGGAGGAGATGGAAGGAGAGATGAATAATAGCCTTGTGGAAGTCCTATCAAAGTGTTGATGGAAAAGCCATTCCTACCCGCCACATTCAAACCTTCGGTATGTCCATAATAGTCACTGCTTCAATTGAATCTATTTTTCCTTGGGATGAAGGGATCACGTGCTGAATTCTAATAGAGTGGGGTAGACAAAAATAAACCAAATGTTCTGAGGAGAAACAGGAGCTGTGAGTGCAAAGGTCTTTCTACTATTTATTAAAATTTTTTTAATGTGTTGCCTTTATAAATTAAGGACACATGCTAAAGTTGAGGAAATAAGCAAACAATCATAAAATTGGGCAAATTGCAGAACTTGCAAATTAGGAAAGACCAACACAGAGTGCAGAAAGGACTAGAAGTGAGCAACCAACCAATAATCTACCATCAAGAAGGCAGAGTGGGGCCGAGAGAAGGGAGGGAGATAGAAGCAAAAGGCCAAGAACAAAACCAGAAAAGAACTCAGCAATAAGACGGTTCCAATAAATAGATCGCAATACAGTACGTGCCCTATAAAAAAAAACAACGTATAAAGGCATTAGAATTTTACCTCAACCTATCACCACAGGTCTCCTCTCATACAGCCTCCTCGTGTTACACAAAATCAAAAACAATAGGTTGTCTGATCTTTCCATTTTAGAATTCATACAAGTAACTCGGCAGCCTGTCTTTCAAGCAACACTAAATTATGTTGAATATGGGATTTTTTAAAATTCTATTCCAACTAATGACAATGCCACTGTAGTTTGTAGTTTTCAGTGGCTGATTTTTCAAACCTAGACCACCTTTCTTACCAGGCACCTCTGCATAGACTAGAACCTCCAATCTTTCGGTTAGAAAGACTACCAGGTATATCCATGGTAGTAGACAGACACACTGGGTAAATAGGCATAGGCTACATAGACACAGACAAACTGGTAGTCCATTCTTTTCACTTTATTATGTCTTCACACTAGTGTTAAAGGCAAGTTTCATGTTGACATTCCGGGGTTGTGTCTTAAGGAGCTGGGAAGCATTTTGAAAAGGTCCGGAAGAGCACAGAGCACTGCTGGAATTAGCAGCCAAAAAACAGAGCAGCCGGTGCCATCATGGATGCTGGGGTACTTAATTTACCTTAAATTAAAGCATTCTTGTCTCCTTCCCCAGTAACTGTCTCTTCTCTCATGTGCTGGTAATTTCAAGAATTGCCCGCTTCACAGTGGGCTAGGTAACTCTAAGTATTCAACAACAACAACAAACCCTTACTGCCATTGAGTGGATTGCAACTCATAGCTACCCTGATGGACAGGGTTCTGAGACTATCTCTCCCTCTTTACGGGAGTAGAAAGCATGATCGTTCTTCTGCAGAGAGTCTGCTGGTCTTGAACTACTGCCTGTATGTTTAGCAGCTCAACTCATAACTACTATGTTTTGGAATACTCCTCTGGGTATTCCAAAAGATGCTTTTTAGATGAAAAGAAAAGATACAAGAAGCTGTATGGTAGCCTTCTTCCTGCACAGGTTCCTGGCCAAATGAATAAGAAATTGGCTTTCCCGTTCCACAGAGAATTCACTTCCAACAGAAGGAAACAGATGAGTCTGAGGCATTTTAAAACAATATAGGACACATACAGTAATATGGGGGAGACATCGGACAGTGCAAGATATGACAAAACAGTATTTTGTAAATTATCAAGGGCTCATGAGGGAGGGAAGAGCAGGGAGGGAGGGGAAAAATGAGGAGCTGATGCCAGGGACTTAGGTGGAGAGCAAATGTTTTGAGAAT